GAGGGGAGGTCTCGGGGGCGGGGCCGCAGGAGGGTCCGAGGCAGTGGCGGGGGATTAGGGCGGCGGGGCTGCAGGAAGTTGGGGGTCAGTGGAGCGACCCTGGGGAAAAAAGGAATGATCAGTTCTGAGACGGCTGGTGAGGGAGAGATCTGGGGGCCTGGCTGGTCCTTAAGTGGCCGGGATGATTTGGGGGAATCTAGGTGACCATGGATGAGAGCTGAGCTTGGAGGAAGACGCACAGCTGTGGGGTGGGGTGGTGGAGAGTTGTTCTGAGGCATCCATGGGAAGAGGGGTTCTGGACTTGGGATCTGGAGCACGTGGGAGGCTAATGGGAGACCAGGAAGAGTCTGGAAGGCCAAGGAGGCCGGGGTGGGTAGCGTCTTCAGTCACCTGGGAGGGGCTGAGGAAGGTGTGTGAGGAGACTGGAGGTGAGGGACTCTGACAGATGGACTGTGACACGGGAGAGGCCTGAGAGGAGAAGACCGGCGAGATTGACGCGTCTGAGCAGGTTGGGAGAAAGGCCTTCTCTGCGAGGCTTCTCTGCCAGGTCACTGTGTCAAGTGGATTATGGAGGTGAGAGGGGAGGGGAAAGGAGATAAGTGCCGGGCAGGCTTCCGGATCGTCTAGGGAGGACTTGGAGAGAAGGGCCTGAGCAGAGCTGAGCCAGCTGGGAGGGCAGGTGGAGGGCCGGGAAAGAAGTGGCGCTGGAGAGGGTGCGAGGCTGAGGGCTGCTGGGCTGAGAAAAGGGAAGCTGGAAGAGCTGGGGCTGCTGCAGGGAGCTGGCTGGCCAGGGGGTGGTGGGGACTGATGGAGAGTGACTGAGGAAGGAGGTCAGCCTGGCAGCCAGGGCAGGGGTCTGTAAGCAATAATGGAAGGGATTGTGAAGGGGTGGGGGCTGGGAGGGGGTGGGAGGAGAGGCAGGGAGGTGGCAGGAAGTGGGGGTCAGGGAATCACAGGTTGGTGGGGTGGTGATGGAGGTAGGGGCATAGCGAGGAATTCAGGGTTCCTAGGGGAGAGCAGGAGAGCAAAGGCTGAGTGAGAGAGGGAGAGGGGTCAGGGAGAGAAGTGGACAAATGGGGGGAGCCCTTCATTGATTCAACCAATAGTGGGTGGGGTTAGGACTGGGCGTGACAGGAAGGATACAGGGCATCAGGGTGATGGCTGGGTCAGCCCAGAGCCTGGCGGAGAGGGGAAGGTAAGAGGGGAGACTCGGGAAGGGAAGGGGTGCGGAGGTCCCCTCTGGAGCGAGACTGGATATCCAGGGTGTGTGGGGCGTGTGGGCGCCAAGTCCTGTTTTAGGCTGCAGTGGTGGACAGGAGAAGGCCTCTGCTGTCCCAGGGCTCACCTTCTAGAGGGAGCTGATGGACAAATAAACCAACAGACCTCAGATGAGGGCTCAGACGGTGCCCAGGGCCTTGAAGGAGGGTGAGCAGACGCCATCAGGTGGTTTGGGAAGGCCTCTCCCAGGACACAGTGAGACTCAGCCGTGGGGAAATCAGCACCCTCCTTCTCTCCCTGTGGCAGCTCTAGCCCTTTCTAGATCCCCTGTCCTTCTCCCTCCCCGCGGGAGAACATTGTGGGCAGAAGGCGCAGACAGTGCAGGGGCTTGCGGCGGGGAGCAGCTGGGGTATGGGAAGAACCGCGGGGAGCCCAGGGAAGCCAGGCCAGGGGAGGGCAGTGGGCCAGGCCGGGAAGGGCTCTCCGGCCGAGGGAGGCTTTAGGATTTTGCAGTGGGAGGGCGCCGTGCAGTGGAGTGATGCTGACGCTCCCTGGCTGAGGTTGCAGAAGGGTCCCTGTGGCTGCCCAGAGGGGGCAGGGTCCATGACCGGTTGGGGTGAGGTGCCATTTTGTTGGAAAGACCTAGATATCAGATGGCGCCGGGATGGGTCTTCATGAGTCATCTCCTCTTCCACCCAAGATGCTCCGCTGTGGGAAGACTAGATAGGCAGGGGTGGGCACGAAGCTAAGCCTCGAGACGAGGAGGGAGGGCTGCCTGGGTATCTAAGCAGAGCCAGAGGAGTACAGGGCTCGAACTGAGAGCCTGGCCTCCAGGAAGTTTTAATAGACTTACGACATGGAAAGTGACACAGTCCCTGAATTCACGGGAGGGGCCTGAGAAGAGACAGGCGAGACGGACGCGTCCGAGCAGGTTGGCAGAAAGGGCTTCTCTGCCAGGCCACTGTGCCAAGTGGATTATGGAACCCTCCTTGGTGTAGGGCTCAACAGGGCGGAACCGCGAGTCCATGAGCTCTTGGTACTTGCACAGCCCCGGGCCTGGCATGGAGTGGCCAGGGCGAGGCTGGTTCTGCTGTCCGCTGACCCCAGGGTCCTGCCACAAGGGTGGTGTGGCATGGGGCACATTGCCCGGACTTCCTGACCCTCTTGGGTTTGGGAACGGGATGGTGAGGCCTCCCTGGCAGCTTGTTAGGAGGAGTCAACCAACCGAGCCGACCAGCTCCCAGCAGGGGGCCCAGCACACAGTAGGTGTTCAGCAAACGAAGCTGTGACCTGAGGGTGGAGACTCTCACAGCAGGGAGTGGGGGAGGATGTGGCATCCCTTGGGTCTCCTCAATTCCTGAGGATGTGGGCTGGGTGCTGTGGCTCATGCCTGTAGTCCCAGCAGTTTGGGAGGCCCTGGTGGGAGGATCATTTGAGGCCAAGAGTTCGAGACCAGCCTGAGCTACACAGCGAGACGCTGTCTCCATAGAAAAATTAGCCATGCGTGATGATGCTTGCCTCCAAGTCCCAGCTACTCGGGAGGCTGAGGTGGGAGGATTCCTTGAGCCTGGGAACTCAGGGTTGCAGTGAGCCGTGATCGTGCCACTGTACTCCAGCATGGGTGACAGAGCAAGACACTGTCTCAAAAAGAAAAAAAAAAGCCCTGAGGATATCAAGGTGCCTTCGCCTCGGGAGGGGTGCTGCCGCCCCATTTTACAAACGAGGATGCTGAGGCCCAGTGGGGCAGGACTTGCCCGGTGGTGCAGAACTGAGCGGAACCAGCATCTCCTTCCTCCAGGGGCTCTTCCGCTTGCAGAAGAACCATCTGGTGGCTGCGGGTGGCCCCTGGGAAGCAGGCGTCCTGGCCCGCATAGGCAGGGACACGTCTGACTAGTGGTGCTGGTGGCAGGAGCTGGGGAGCAGCAGAAGCTCCCCTGTGTGACCGCACGTCAGGTTTGCCGGCCACCTCAGGAGGATACACTCGCTCTCCCTCCGTCTGTCCCCAGGGAAAAGGCCCCCAAACAGAAGTCCAGCCAGCCGGCCCCGAGGCCGCCCCGCCAGGGACCCACCAATGAGGCACAGATGGCGGCCGCT